AGCTGCCAGAATCATTGGCATCACCTAGCAGCTGTCTCTAGAGCTGACATCCGTATCTTTTACAAGATGCGCAGAGGCTACCAGCCTCCTCTGATACACAGGTCCGGAGTGCCCCCGACGCTCCCCAGAGTGGACACAATGAAGAAACATACTTCCGACGCGTCTCCACCAAAGGCGACGGAGGGGTTATTGGGGCCTCTGAGGAGTGGGGGAACGGGAGACAGAGACCCCTGAAGCCGCTGCTGTTCCCGCCGGGCCTCCTCTTCTCACACTCAGGTCACCTGCGCCGTGCGCCTCCTCCCGTCGAGTGTTTCTCCTTGGGCTGGGCCACGACACAGGAAGATGAGTCCACCTCCCGCGATGCACAACTGGCCTGGCTCCCCAGGCCTCCCATGCCTGGGACCAAGGGGCCCAGCCCCGAAGAGGCCTCACCTGAGCCTGAGTGCCAAGACTTGCTCTCTAGGGGAGCACCCCGAGTTAGAGGCGGTGCTTCTAAACCAGTTGGAAGCACCCAAGAGGTGCTGAAGCTCTGAATGAGTTAATCAGGCTTTTTACGCCACTAGCTCTGTGGCTACCACCTGCGCAGAGAAGGTGCTGGGGGGCCTGGGCCCGGGGCACGCACACCTGGAGTGTGGAGCGCGCACGTGTAAGTGTGCACACCTGTGCCTGGAGGCGGGCTGCGCGGGCCAGCAAGAGGGTGAGCAGGGTGACTACAGAAGAGGGGCGCCCATGAGTTGTGTGAGAACGCCAGAGAGAGGCATAGAGTCTTGGGGGCCTCCCTGGTGGTGCAGGGGTTAAAGCGCAGCACTATGAAGCTACCTGCAGCCACCGGAGCAGGGGTTCGATCCCCGGCCAGGGAGTGACCCACAGGGTGCGGCAGACCTCGCCTGTCCTGCCCGCTGCTCCCCCCAGCAGTGTGCTCTATCAACCCACCTGTTCTGCTCCCTGCTCTGTCTCTGGTGAATCCTCTCAACACGCGCACTTCTGGCCTGTACCCCAGTTCTTATATGCATAAGATTATTAATCTTTCAGAAAAGATTTGTGGGGACTGGGAGACTCTGGCCTGTCTCCTTCCCGCCCCCCGGCCCAGCCTGCGCCTGCCTCCTTGCAGCCTGGTGTGCCTGTGTGTCTGCGTCCCAGAGAGCCTGGAAACCTGAAAAAATTCCCCGAGGGCTCCGGGGCTCGCAATCCATCTGCCGAATCAACAGTGAACCTGCCCTGTGCATGCTGGCCCTGTGCATATTCTTTCTCTCCCCTTGGAGACATGAATCTTACCCAGTCTCTGAAATGCAAACACTCCAAGAAGTGACTAAAACTCTGCCCACAACTTTCTGTGACCTGATTCCTGCCTAAATGTTAGAACAGAAGCTATGGGGTTTCGTGCGTCTGCCAGTGTTTTTATTTTTGTCTGTGGATATATATCATGAATATATGACATCCTGTCTCTGGTTGGCATTGCTTACATAATTTGTAAACAGTTTTAATTGGCTTAAAGACAATAAGTGCTTCTAAATTTGCACATATAGAAACCAGCACATTCTCCCCACTGGTGATCAAGGATAATCTTCAGTAAACAAGAGCTCGTTTTAGTTTGTTAGTTGGGTGTATTTAAAACTACCAGCACGAGGGCCCTTCCTGGTGGCGCAACGGGCTAAAGCACAGTACTGCAAAGCTGCCCACCTCAGTAACATAAGTGTGATCCCTGGCCAGGGCGCTGACCCACAGGGCGCTGACCCACAGGGCGCAGCAGACCTGTCCTGCTCCCCTCAGCAGTGTATTTCAGTCATTCTGCCTGTTCTGCTCCCCACTCTGTCTCTGGTGAATCCTCTCACCCACCACACCTCTGGCCTGTGCCCCAGTTCTATAAGCATAAATAAATCTTTTTTTTTTAAAGGATGATTAATGCTGACATTTAGAACATATTTAAATAAATAAAAAAAAGATTTGCCTACTTTTAGCTTCATATGACTTAGGAACCAAAGAGGCTTATTAAACTATGTCACATATTTCTAAAAATGTATGCTTTTAGGAATTGTGAAGCATATTCATGAATTTGCCCATGACCGATCATTTGCAATTGTTGACTTCCTTATTTTCACTAGAAATTAGAGTTGTTTAAGGGTTAAAAATCTCATATAGGCAATTAAAGCTAGCAGAAATAATAAGAGGAACAACTCTATATAAGGAAAGTGGAATATATTTTTGGCTACGAACAACTAGGAGGACTGGAGATATATTTCTGTTGGGGAGAATAAAGCAAGGCTGATTATTTCAGAATGGAAGAGACACAATTGGAAATGTTGGTGAGACTGCAGGTTTTGCTGGAATGTTCCTTTTGAGAATGTACAAAAACTCAGATATGACCAGACCGCTTTTAGGAATTAAGGTTGCCTTTGTGGGACCAGTGAAGTTGCTGTGAGACTAACCTGGTATCTCGCTCACACAGTTCCCGGCAGGGCTTCACCCCTGCGTCGGAACACGACGTTCTGATGGGCTCAGAAGTCTCAGAATAGACTAGAGACCTCAAGAGCAGGGGAATTTCCCCAAGTCTGTAAGAATTTCAGGGAAATCCTGAGGGTAAGTCTTGGCGTGGTTGGTTCTAGAGCCTCAAGAGTGATAAGAGACCCATCCGAGATCCCTTACAAAAAGTTCCATGAACAAACTTTGAAGTAGCCTATGAGGTCACTCATAGTTCCTGCTGCTCTTATACAATAACCCACCAACTCTGTCAAAACCAGATCTAATAGGCAAACACTTGGTCTTACTGTGGTTTTCTTTGATAGAAATTTGGGCGATTGTAGAGAGAAAATTCTGCTTTAGTTGTACACCACTGTGTATTTAAATTCTTAGTACTTTGAGTTGTTTTTGAGGGTTTGTTTTCTACCTGCCAACTGGACTAGTTCCTGCATCTTTCTAGTTTTTTCCTAGTACTAGACTAAATCTCTCCCAACTAAAAAGGCCATTGAGTACTGATTTTTTCCCCCCAAAATCATCCAAGTTAAAAAGTTGGAAACTGAAATCACCACATTTGTTCACATGTGGATAGTCTCCTTGAGTGTGGCTGTGTTGACCCCTCCCCACACCCCAGGACACATACAAACTGCAAACCGGAACAATCCATGAGATCCTGCTCCCTGTTCTTACACCACCTGGCAAGCCGGTCAGTATGACCTCGGCACACCCGAGGGGCAGCCTCCAGAACCCAGAAACTGTCCTGACAGCCTGCCCCAGGCCCTGCCCTGCCTTTTTTTTTTTTTTTTAAGGATTTCTTTATTATGCCTATAAGAATGGGGGTACAGGCCAAAAGTACGGGGGTGAGACACAGACACAGACAGAGTGCTGGGTCTACTGAAACCCACTGCTGAGGGGAGCAGTGGGGAGACAGAAGAGGTCTGCTGTGCCATGTGGGTCACTCCTTGGCTGGGGATTGAACTCTGCTGCCATGGCTGCCCATAGCTTCACAGTGCTGCATTTAAACCCTGCGCCACCAGGGAGGGCCCCCTTTTCTTTCACTTGCACCATATAGACATAACACTGGGAGACGGGACCCTGCGAGACCGGACACTGGGAGCGAACTGCACAACTACCTCGTGGATACCACCTTTGGCCCGACCTAATTTAAAACTAAGAGATACCTTTGACAAGAAATGGAGCACTCTTCCAACTCAAGACAGGTTCAAACCGACTTGCTTCAAATGGCCCCACATGTAAAAATACCTGACAGTACCCCTACGTTCCTTGAACGGGCACCCAGGGCCAGCTCCCGCCACCGTGACCCTGCTTTCACGGGGGGACCCATTCAGGCCTGGGACGATGGCGACAGGCCTGCTCACAATGTGGTATACCGTGGCTGCAGTGGCCACATTTCGGTGCCTGTGTCCTCGCCAGATCCACCCCCCTGCCCCTGACATTCAGTGTATCAGCTGTGCTGGCCAGATGGTAGAAAGCCTGACCGCTGGCTTGTTTCCTCTTTCTCCTTTCCCATAGGCCGTCCCCTTCACAGTGACATCCAAGTCACACGTGGCCATCATGAGTAAACACAGAGGGGCCTCGGCCCCTCCCCCACACAGCGGCCTTTGTTTTACAGGTGCTGCTTGGTTTATTCTGCTGGCCATGTGGACACTTGCCCACTCCCCTCCTCTTCTCTTCCTACACTGTAAACTCCCATTACTGTGTTTTAAATTCATCAATAAAAGTGACACATGTATGTGCACATATATATATGTCTATAGTTGCATAAATATATAAACTATATATAGTTGCATAAATAAAGAAATCTAACTATATATATAGTTGCAGACGTGAGTCTGTACATCTAAAATCTGTGGTGCTGTTCGGCCCTCCCTGGTGGCACAAAAGGTTAAAGCGCAGCACTGTGAAGCTGTCCACAGTCACTGCAGCACGAGTTTGACCCCCAGCCAGGGAGTGACCCACAGGGCGCAGCAGACCTCTCCTGACCCGCCCGCTGCTCCCCTCAGCAGTGTATTCAGTAGATCCGCCTGTTCTGCTCCCCACTCTGCCTCTGGTGAATCCTCTCACCCCCTGCACCTCTGGCCTGTACCCAGTTCTTATAGGCATCAATAATAAATCTTAAAAACAAAAACCTATAGTGTTGTCAACGAGTGTTGTCTCAAACAAAAAGGGAGACTTGTTAACCTAGACACCTCCCCTCAACGTAGGAAAAACTGACCCAAGCCCAGGCTCACTCACGCCTGCTCGCTTGCTCCCTCTTTAACCTCACTATGCAGCCTCAGTTCTCGGAAGTAACAAAACTTGATCCCCCCAGAGCTTCCTTATGGTTATAGCTGTAGCATATCCTGCTATCACAGAGAACGCAGGGGCCGATCCAGTGGCTAATTTGGTTATTGACAGAGTGAGACTGATGCAAGGCAGACACACCCTAAATGTACACTCCAGCCGCTCTCAGCTTCCACAGCAGCAGCTATTTAAGGGGCGCTGGGCTGAGACCAAACAAGGCAATCATTCGGAGGTGCCGCTCCCGCATTCTCTGACAGGTAAATGCCCAGAACTGGGGCTGTGAACTGCCCAGAACTGCTGACGGTCCTGCTGACGGTTGACTGTGAGAGTGTGTGTGTGCTTGACACAGCAGCTTGCGCATGGTTTGGTCTGTGTAAGAGGGTGCTTGTGCACGAGTGTGCTGGGGGTGTGCATGTGGGGTGCGGATGCAGACACCCCCACTGGGTGATTAAGAGTGCATCTACATAGAAAAAAAATGAACAGCTATATACCAGAGACATTTTAGCAGGGTGGAGTGGGGAATGGGATCAAAAATTGTGGGGGAGGGAGGAAGTGCACTGGATTATGGTGGTGGCACACGGGTGAGTTGGTGATGGGAAGCCCAAGGGGATTACAACTGAGATGGGAAAAGGCACCAAATGATGTGAAAATAAACTATTATAAAATAAAAAAGTGCATCCACATATACATATGTGTATCATGTATGTGCTAGTGTATGTGTTCGCATGTAGAGGGTGGAAGTCATTGCAAATGGGGGTGTTGTTTTGATTCTGAAAAAATTATTAGGGATTAGAATTTGTAGACGGACTTCTAAAACCACCGATCCAGTGTGGCACAAGGGATACATGTCTGATGGGGGACACATAGGCGTGTGCTGTGTAGGGGTGTGTTTGCAAAGCTTTCTGGAAGTTTCCAAAGAAAGGATGTTGCTTTAACTTTGAGGCCATGGAAGGCATCCCCCAAAACAGAATCCACTGTGGGGACAGGTGTGTCTAATGGGGGACACATACCTGTCCCCCCCAGGGAGGCCCCACTTTGTCAGGATCACCTGGCCACAGTCTTCCAGGAAAGCTCAGTCCCAGGAGCCTGGGGTTCCCTGGTGGATCATGTGGGAGTCTGGGGGTGGGAGCCAGTCCGTGTGTGTGTGTGTGTGTATGTGTGTGGGTGTGGGTGTTTGTTCCCCAGAGCTGGGAGCCTCAAGGATCCTGCGCGTGCACACCCCGTGCCTCTGTGTGGTCATCAGCCTGCACAGACTGGCGGGGGCCTCTCGGGGCCCTGAAGTCTCCTCCAGGCCGGGCAGCGTGAACACAGAGCAGGCGGCAGCAGCGGCCCCCAGAGAGGCCCTGGCCAACCTGCCCACATCTCCCCACACAGAACCCGGCATGAGGGCCCTCCTGCTGCTGGCGATGGTCATGGCCTTTGGTGAGAGCTGGTCTCTGGGCGAGGGGAACAGCCAGGAAGAGCCCCACCCTTGCTTCAAGTTGCAGCAGGCTTCCCTCAGGGCAGAGAGAGAAAGCCCATGGGTGGGGCCGGAGCTAGGCAGAGGGAGCCCACGAGGGAGGGAGGACGGGAGGCCACGAGGGAGGACGGGAGGCCACGAGGGAGGACGGGAGGCCACGAGGGAGGGAGGACAGGAGGCCACGAGGGAGGACGGGTCCCTGCTGCATCACCTGGCAATCTCCTTCCAGGCCTGCAACAAGCCGACGGGGCTTTATGGAATTTCTGGAAAATGATTACGAAGGTGACAGGAAAGGAAGGAGCATCCAGTTATGGCTTCTACGGCTGCCACTGTGGTGTGGGTGGCAAAGGCACACCCAAGGATGCCACGGATTGGTGAGGCCACCCCACTCCAGCCTTCCCCGGCCTCTGTGGCCTGGGCAGGGCAGGAGCCCAGGCGTGCGGTGGTGCCATCAGCCCAGACCCCGGCAGTGCTGGCAGAGAAGCAACCAGCATGTTACAGGACGCACTAGCGTGTGCCAAAGCCATGCGGTCACTGCCAGGGCTAAGGGCATAAACCCAGGGGTCACCAGGGTCCCTGATACTGTAGGCCCGAGCCCCAATACTGCATTCTCGCCACAGGTGCTGCGTTGCGCATGACTGTTGCTATGACCGGCTGGTAAGACAGGGGTGTTCCACCAAATTTCTGAACTACAAAGCTGATTACCGCGGGTCCACCGTCACCTGTGGTAAGCAGAGTCCTCCAGCTCCGACTGTTAGTGGTGTCCTTGTGCCTGGCACAGTGCTGGGCACAGATGCAGATTCAGGGGATACAGATTTCAGCGGCCTTATTAGCCCACGGTTGAGTGGGAATTGAGGAAAATGAAAACACAGTGTGGTAACACACCAATGTGAAATAAGCACAAGAGCGTGTTCTTCACACAGCTGAGGGTCAGTGAACGCTCCTGAGGAGTGACACACCAGAGTCCTAGAGACACGCAGTTATCAGGGAGAAGGGGACAAAGTGGGGTCCAAGGGCCCAGAAAATGGTTCAACGCTGCTTGCCAGGGGCCAATCACTGCAGAGGAGAGAGGGCGGCATGGCGGCCTCCACCAATCACAACCGGGTCCAGCCTCGGGGGCGGGGCCTTTGCCCAGGACACTTCTGCCATGGCTGAGGGCGAAGCTTAACAGAGACTCCACATGGCTGCTCTGTGACCCCATGGGGCAGGGGCCAGCTTCCCCGGGCATCCGGGAGTCTGTCGCCAGCAGTCACAGCTCTCTGGAGCCTAGATGCTTGTCTCGCCATGGAAGCCTCTGGGGGTGGAGTTGGAGGTGGGGGGCTGTGGCTCCCTCCTCCGCCCCCCAGAATGCCCCCAGAGGCCTCAGAATATTCACAAGCCCTCACCTGGTGTTTCTTTTGCTGTGATTTCAGCGAGACAGGACAAGTGCAAGAAACAAGTGTGTGAATGTGATAAAGCAGCTGCCCTCTGCTTTGCGAGACACAAGAAAAGCTATAATAAAAAGTACCAGTACTACAACAACAAGTCCTGCCGCGGAAAGACCCCCAAGTGCTGAGCGCCCCACGCCGTGCCCCACGCCCATGCTGAGCTTCTGTCCTAGCGTCCTCCCCATCCCCTGTGCTCTGACTGCAGGAGCCAGGGGGCTCCGCGCGCGCCCTGGGAATAAAGCATTTCTTCAGAAACTCCGTGTGTGTGCACGCGCGTGCCCGACCCACCCCATGCCCTGTAGTGTGAGGACAAGCTGGCACAGGGCAGGAGGCTGAGCGCGCACACATGCAGACTGCAGTCAGACTCGGGTCCAACCCCTGCACCCCCACCCTGAGCTCCCTTCCTGACCCTAGGGGCCAGCTGCGGGGCCAGCTGCCCGGCCCGCAGGAGAAGTGGAAGCGGTAAGGAACGCAAGGCCCTGGCCAGCTGGTCTGTCCCTGTCAGGCTGTGACAAGGGACCCCTGGGACCCCTCTGCTCCCCTGGCCAAGCCGCTCTGCTGGGCCTGGGGGGAGACCAGCAATGCCAGTCTGGGGCAGGGGCGCTGGAGCCTCTGTCTTCTGGGCGGTACATTCTTGTCCTGTGTTGCCAGCTTGGGGCAGCTGTGCAATATAGTACTGGCCACCAGCTGGCCTCTGGGGTACCCCCCCCACACCCAGACTGGTTCCTGGACAGGCAGCCGGTGCCCAACCCACAGGGCGCCCTGCGAGTTCCTGCTGGGCCACAGCCATCTTGGGCTTCCTGTTTCCTGGGGGTCCTGCATTTATTTTGCACAGGGACCCACAAAATTTGCAGTTGGTCCTGCCCTCACCTGGATGTCAGGCCCTTCTGTCACTGGTTCCCACGGGGATAGTCCTGCCTGAACCAGCTCCAGCCCCACCTGGCATGAGGTCTGTGGTGGGAAGTGCCCTGAATTCAGGAGGCAATTTTTAACTTTTTTCTTATGTTTAAAATTAATTTACATACCTATTTACATTATTGTTCATTTTAAAGCAATGTTTACTTTCCCCTTCACGCACTTCAGCTGCTGGTTATCACCACAGTCCCCCACATTGCTCCCTCCCCCCTTCCAACCCATCTCCCTTTAGGCTTCCTCTGGTTTATAAAGGTCTTTTGTTTTCGTTTTGTTTTATATTGCAGTAACAATACACTTTTACCCCTATGTCTCATTTGGTTCTCTTGTATCACTCCTATAGGTGAAACCATTTGGTGTTTTTTCTTTTTCCTTCTGAATTATTTCACTGAGCACTTGAGAGCTCACAAGAATTAACAACAACAAAACAAACAACCCAGTCAAGAAGTGGGCAGAACCTAAAAGACACTTGTAGAAAGAGGAATTGCAAATGGCCAAAGATATGAAAAAATGTTCAACAACCCTTATAACCAGGGAAATGGAAATCAAATCCACAATGAGATACCTCCTCACACCACTGAGAATGGCACATACCAAAAAAACTAACAACAAATGTTGGCGAGGGTGCGGTGAAAAAGGAACTCTCCTGCATTGCTGGTGGGAAATCAAACTGGTACAACCGCTATGGAAAGCTGTATGGAAATTCCTCAGACAACTAAAAGTGAAGCTACTATATAACCCAGCAATTCCACTCCTAGAGATCTACCCAAAGGACACAAAAACATTAATTCAAGAGGATACAGGCAGCCCTGCTTTTATTGCAGTACTATTTACAATATATAAACCTGGGAACAACCCAAGCGCCCCAAAATGGATGAATGGATCAAGAAGACGTGGTAGACAATGGAATACACAATGGAATACTACTCAGCAATCAAAAAGACAAACTCATGCCACTTGCAGCAACATGAATGGAGCTAGAAGGTATCAGGGGGCATTTTAAAGGGGATGCCATTCATTTGTTATTACTTTTTGCAGTGCATGAGTAGAGATTCTGGTATAAACTGGCAAGATCCCGAGTGGGAACAAAAGCTTGGGGGTCTTCAGGGAAGGAACAGAGTTGGATGAAGTATGTGGTTTACAAAAATGCTCATCTGCGTTGTCAAGCTGAAGCCACTCTTCTCGCTCCATGATTGGTTGCCGATTGTGTCTGCAGGCAAAATGTCCTCACACAGGTCTTCAGGGCACAATGATCTCAAACAATTTGCTTTCTGTTTCTCAAAAACCCGCGCTTGGGACCCTTCTGAAAGTTGTCCTAGGAAAAGCTCAAGAATCAAGGTCAGCAAGGCAGTTTCTCTGGGTTGGCTACTCTGGCTCCTCTTTAAAACGACTCCACCTACGCCGGCCTTTCCATGGGGTCGGTGGGAGTGAATTTGAGCGCTGGCACAGGGGGCTCCGCCTTTCTGATAGGAGGGCCCTTTTCTGATTTGGCACAAAGATGGTTCATCCAATGGCGGTAGCTCTGACCCTGTTCATATCAAGAGAAAGCCAGTTAAAAGGGTGCTGTTAGAACAGATAAACATCCAGCTGTGTGAGGACCTGCTTTACCGGGACTATGGCAAGGGGCTGTTTGATGCTCCTGAAGGACTCTGGTGGAAGCAAAGCCTGCAGAAGGACATTGGCAAATGCATGTGTATGTATGTACATGTGTATGTATGTATGTATACACACATACATGCACACATTTATGTATATATATACACATATTTTTTAAAAATGTGTTTTTTTGTTTTTCCAAAGATTTATTTATGCATACAGAACCTAGTACAGGCAGGGGTGGTGAGAAGACTCACCAGAAACAGTGGGGAGCCGAACAGGCAGGTCTATTGAAATACATTGCTGAGGGCAGCGGGCAGGTCAGGAGAGGTCTGCCGCGCCATGTGGGTCAGCTCCTTGGACAGGGATCAAACTGGGGCTGAAGCGGCTGCAGCCAGCTTCATAGTGCTGCGCTTTAACCCATTGCGCCACCAGGGAGGGCCCCACAAATGCATACATTTTTTGAGTGAGCAGCCCTATGCCTGGAAATTTACCCTATAAACACACACACATACTCACATACACACACATCCATGGTGATTCTTGATTTTTTCAAATTGCCCCACTGTTCTGAACTGCCAGGACTAGAGCTGATGCTTGCTGTTGGCTGGCACCCCCAGCAGGTGTCTTTGGGCATAGCAGTGCAGGCAGGAAGGTACAGCCGGGAGCCTCAGCCGTCGGGGGTGGGGCGCGCAGGGAGTGGGCAGGTAGAGGAGCATAAGATGCAAGGTGAAGGCTGGAGGGACTTGGCACGCAGCTGCCTCCTGTACCGCTCACGGGCAGCAGTTAGCACGAGCCACTGCTGCGCTGGAGCCTGGGCAGCTCAGCTCCGCTGTGGACGGAGAGGCCAGCGGAGACGCAGGGAGAAGGTGGGAATCTCCCCCCGGCCTCCTCCGTCCTGGCCCAGCTAGGCATCGTCTGTCCAGGTCATAATCAGCCCCCTCCCACGTCCAGGCCATTGCTCAGCTCCCCAACAAATCAGCCCAGGTGTATTGATGGTTCTCCAAATCCAAGCTTCTCTCCTTCCAGATCCACTGTGTCTAGCAAGAGCTGAAGGTAAAAGGGGAAAGACACAGCACAATCTCAGGTGTAAGGTGAGAACACACAGAGGCGCTAAATATTTCAAGGCACCAATCATGTACCTAAATAAACCGTGAAAGATAAATCAGAGGAGCAGCAGGAGGAGAAGGAGACAAGCAAGTAAAATAAAAACTGGTGTCTTGCACCTGTCAGCGGTAGCAGCCAAGGAAGATAAGGTCCAGCAGTTGGTCAATTGGAATGTGGTTTTTCTTTGACTTGGCAACCCCACTTCTGGACACAATTTTCTCTGAAAATGCATTTGTACACACACACACGGGTGATCAGCGGGTAAGTGTCAGTGGGAAGTCAAGCCCAGAGCTGTCCTGACCCAAAGCCGTCTCCCTACTGCCCAGGATGCTACAGAGCTCGGCTGGGCTGTCAGCCTGAGTCCTGCGGGACCAGGTCCTAGGTACCATCAGGCCCGAACGAAGCACCTACTTAATTACTGACATCTCTGAGGGAGTGAAACAGCCACCATACAGCTGCTTTCACTGCCTGCGAGTTTTAACCAACTCCATCATCACCTCCCTCCCATGACCACTTCAGGCTTCCTCACCCTCAGACTCATCTTGTTCATGTGACAGCTGTCACTTCATTCCCTAGGGTGAGCCAGGGTCGGCGACCTACGCAGGTCTTGGAAGTGCCAGGGACATTTGGCAAAACCTTCCAGAATCAGACACCCAGCTCTTGGTCTGGAAGGGAGGCAGCGCTGAGGGAGACATACCCTTGGCTGTCAGTCCCCACCCCAGGGCAGGGCCTGGCGACCTGGGTCTCAGATGGCCCTCCTGCTTATCCAGCTTGAGAAACTCTGAGGATGGACTCCTGGAAAATACAATCATCTCCAAGAAGAGGCTCTCCCAGGAAAGGCTGAATCTTTAGAAAAGCACCCCCTTTTTCTAGTCACACTGATCCCCTGGGCTTGTCATTGCCCAGGAAAGCCACGAGGCTTTTATCGGTCTCTGACGACCTTGGACCTCAAACCCAGACCCTCTGAGCATCCACGTTTATTCCAGACTTAACCCAGGAGACCTTTCCTATGGAAGCTATGGAAGAATTCCAGTCCCACAGGGACCCTCAAACCTGCTGCTTTGTGAGGCTTGGGGGAGACCAAGAGCCAGGTGGCTACTGAGGGACTTTCCCTCTTTTCAGCTGGGTGGTGGCTGGGAGTAAATGCCATGCAAATGAGCGTGATGGAGAAAGGGGCTGGAGGCCAGGACAGTAAGTGAACACGGTGGCCAGATGCAAGGGCAGGGTTTCAGCAACCTGCTCCTGGCGCCAACTTCATGGCGGTTCCCAGGGCCAGCAGCTGGAAAGCACGTCCTCATTCCCTTCCCTGAGTAATCCTAAGATGTGGGTAGCACCGTCATTCCCACTTTGCATTCATTCACTCCATAAGGCATTTATTGAACAATTTCAACAATCTAGACCCAGAACCAGGCACCAAGGACCCAACAAAAGCCAAACAGACAAGACTCTCCACCCCCCCCCCCCTGTTTTGCAAGCCGTGGAGGAGACAGAAGCAGCCCATGAGCAAACCAGAAGGGAAAAAGACAGCAATGAGTGATACATGGAAGGTAAACAGGGCAGCAGGAGGGGGTCCCAGGGTCTGTGTCTAGGTGGGGTCCAGGGGAGGGGAGGCAGGACAGAAGGCATCTGAAGTGAGATCGAAGCAGGAAGTTTCCCAGGTCTGCTTGGGTTCTGCTACTTTTCCAGTCGGCAGCTCGCTGCAGTGTGCTTCTGGCCACAACAGTAGCTGGCTGCCTTGACCCCCTTCCCGAACATAAAAAATGTTTATGCTTTGATGGATGGGATGACAAGTTTCCTCATACAACCCGTATCAAACCTCACCATTGCTGTAATTTGGGGCTCAGCCTTTTGGGACTGAGCCCACTGGTGTGACAAGTAAATCTGTCTCCCCACCTCTCTGAGTGCTGTCTGATTGCTCTGGGAAGTTGCCAAACAAGATCACACGTGATATGAAGAACCTATCCCACTGGGTCAAGAAAGCCCACCCAGGTAGGGGACAGCAGCAGAAGGACTTGAGGCAGAACTGAGTGTGGCATAGTCAAGGACAGAAGAAAGAAAATGGGGGTGCAGAACAGAACCCAGAGAAATCAAAAGAAGGTGCTTTTAGCAAGCAGGAGTGTGTAGGGCATGAAATCTAGGATGCTGAGCTCACCTGCGAGTGAAATCCCTCATCAGGCAGGAAGCACGAGGAAGATGATGGAGGAGGAGGCATGAAAAGAACATGAAAGCCCTATGTCTTTGGAATAAAGTATGGGAAGAGATACAAGGCTAGCTGTGGCTTTTGGAAATCACAAGACGAAGAAGGTGGAGGAGGAGGAAGAAGAGGAAGAGAAGCCGTAGGAGAAACAGCCACTGAATGTGTCTCTGGTTGAACCATAGCTGAAAGGTTCTAGTCTTTTCCTTCAACTAATCAATAGATTTAATTAATTGTTTATAAATGTTTGAGTCAAGAGTCCGATTTTCTGATACTTGCTATTAAAAGCATTGTAAATACTGTGTACTTTCTTATATTTAATATTTTTTCAACTTTCCTGGTAAAATAATTACTATCAACTCCACTGTATAGATGAAAAAACAGAGGCTGAAAAAGGTCAAGTGATTAATACAAAGTCTTCCTAGGTCAATAATGGCAGTGGGGATGTCAACTCAGGGCCCCGGAACCCGAGCAGCTGACTCCTAAGCAGGGTCAACTCTGTGAGACCTTGACAGTGGCTCTTACACTAAGCCTGAATCTCGGAACTTTTCCACATCCCAGTCAGTCATGTGGAAGAACAGGAGGCAGCGTCGGGGAGTCACCACAGCCGGACGGAGAGGGGGCACCATTCCCGGGTGTCTGTCCTTCTCATTTTAAAGTTTGTTTAACATATATAAAGTAGAAAAGTCATGAATTTCCCTGGACCTGATTCATTTCAATGTTTATCAACATTCTGCTGTCTGTTATCATATCTACTCTACTCCCTTTACACCTCTACGCTGCTGTCATCACCACCACTATCACCACCATCATTACCACCATCACCACCACCACCATCATCACCACCACCATCCATCATCACCACCATCCATCATCACCACCACCATCATCACCACCTTCACCACCATCATCACCATCATCATCACCACCATCACCATCATCATCACCATCACCACTATCATCACCACCACCACCATCATCACCACCATCACCACTATCATCACCATCATCACCACCACCATCACCACTATCATCACCATCATCACCACCACCATCACCATCATCACCACCATCATCACCACCACCACCACCATCACCACCACCATCACTATCATCATCACCACCATCATCACCACCATCACCATCACCACCATCATCACCACCACCACCACCACCATCATCACCATCACCACCATCATCACCCAACACCACCATCATCACCACC